CAGGCAGGGTCTACATGCAGATTAGCTTGGGACCTATGTGGGCAGGACACACGGCCAGGAAGATGGGATGGGGCCGTGGGTGGGGAGCAGCGTCTGGGAGCAGGACAGGTGGGCGGGGCTGGGAGTGGGATCGCAGGGTGGTGACTGCAGTTCCTGGGCCCAGGGCAGAGCTGCATATCTGCTCCCTGCAGGTCCCTGTGATGAGCACCAGTTCCATGGGCAGGGGCATGCAGGGAGAGAATCACAGCTCTGCCCCAGGACCCAGCCCCATGCTGTCACTGCCCAGTGATCCCAGATCCCAATCCTGTCCCCACCCGCCCATCCTGCTGCCAGACGCTAGTCCCTGCCCACCAGTGGCCGCATCCCATCCATCCATCCATCCGAGCGCAGAACAGAGCCACTTAGGGAGTTTTGGTGAGCTGTTATGGGCAGGGAGTGGGTGATGCTGACCCAGCCCACAACAGCTCACCAAAACTCCCTAAGTGGATTTCCAGCCAAAATAATTGTCCACTCACACCACTCACACTACCCTGTGTACAGGTCCTTTAGCGCCATGTTACATCTCTGGGTGCTGCCCTAATGCAAACAGTAACACCAGAAGCAGCAGCAGCAATCGATTCACTCAGTTAGATGCATCTCTTTTGTATTAGATTTCTATTCATGACTGAGTTGATTGACTACAGTCAACAGGAACAGCACAGCAAGCTCTCAGATTCACTGACTGCAATTTCATTCCTTTTGTGTGCTCCTAAAATCTTCAGATATTATTTCTACAACACCATAAACTTGCATAGCATATTACACAAATTTACCTTACCCCTAGCCTTAACAAAGGTTAGATTTTTTTTTTTTGCAAAGAAGCACCTGAAATTGATTTTCAGAGTCTTTTCTCACTAATCCTATTTCCACGTTCTGTGAGCCCCCATTCATGAGGGGCCTACCCCTGAAAAATAAAGTGAGGCAACAGTGAATAGGGGCAGGCATCTTAGAAAAGAAAAATAAAGAGTCGGTATCTTTTCTCCTTGGTCTGTCTCTGTTTCATGCCAGCTATACCAAGTAACTCCATGATAGCATATGCATTTATTTGCTTGAAAGGTTCTGGGAGTGGAAAATCAGGGACATTTTAAGAATCTGAATAAATTTAAATATACAAGTAAGCATGACACTGATCTTGTCTAGATATAACCTAGATTTTGTTCTGATCCATAAGGAGCAAATCTACACATGCAATTAATACAGACCAATAAATTCTAGAGCTTATTGCTCAGGAGTTTTTTGCTCCCAGATGCACTATTTGAATGTATGCCCAAGAGCAAAAAACTCCAGAGCAAATTGCTCTGGAATTTATTTGTGCAAACCACATAGAGTCCTGTCAAAGCAGTCGGGGCTGGCAGGGGACCTAGGGAGCCTGTTCTGTTCTCCATATACTGAGCGGGAAGGGGCAGGCTGGGGCACAGGGTGCCTCAGCATGGGGCTAACCAGCAGGCAGCCCCCATGCTGAGGCACAGTGGGTGCATCTAGATGAGATGCTTACTGAGCCCCAGGCACAAACCGTGACACAATGCTACTGCACAGTAGTAATGAGCTACTGAGCAGTAAGCGTCACCAGGCAACCGTATCAGGAGGCTACCGCGCAGTAACACTGGTTACCACAGTCATTTAGTACTTGGTTATGCAAGTACTAAATGAATGTGCAGTAACAACTGCACAGCGGGCGTCTTGTGTAGGCGCACCCAGTGTCCCAGCCAGCTGTGGAGCGGCACGTGGAAACAAGGGAGCAGCCAGCCCAGGGCTACTCCCCTATCTTCACGAGCCCCTGCTGCTTCTCCATCTCCACATGCTGTGGAGCAGCTAGCTGGGATGCCGGTGCCTCAGCACCAGGACTGCCTGCTAGCTAGCCCTGCACTGAGACACCTTGTGACCCAGGGCAGCATCCACACATGAACTGTTGCAAAGGAAAACCTCCACAGCAGGGTAGCACTTGCATTTTAGAAAACTACCTGGTGCAGAGTTTATTTGTTTCATGTGCCCTAATAGGGACGCACTTATAGACATGGAGACATTTACTGCGCAGTTAATTGGTCAACTGTACAGTACATATCTTGTGCAGAGGTGCACAATCTTGTGCACAATTCTTACTGCATTGTGACTAATCACCATTTCTACGAAAACCACAAAAGTTATGGGGTCATTTAATCAGCTCATTACGGTCAAACGCAACTAAGCTTCTGCTTGGAGAAGACATGTGATGTAATGTAAATTAAAATGCCAGCATTAGGTTAGCAGGAACAGACAGATTCCAGTATTCAAAAAATGTGTTTACTTTCAAGTGAGTAGTTAAGTAAGATGATACTTGGGCACACTATGCCTAGCACAATTAACATTTACTGTATCATACAGAACCTGCCTACAAAAGGATTTCACAGCCCTACCCTTCCAGTAACATCCACCAAAGAGCCCCTTGCAGATGGCACAATTCTATGCTAAATTAAGGAGTCAGTCCCAAGCACGTGGGGGGGCAGGTCTGGGAACGAACGTGGAAGCATGAGGCATGGAAGTGCTTGGTCCTGAGGAGCCGCACATCTGGTACTGGGACTCCAGTGCAAATGTTCTTACAGCACAACAATAAAGTTTGGAAGCACGGTTTGGGTATAATATTGTGGGGTGGTTGCGAGGTGAAATGTGGGTAGCAAGGATCCCCTTGGTAGAGTGGGGTTGTCTGGACCTGAGATTCAGAGGTGAATGTTGTGGGGAAATTAGTTAGTTTGGACAAGAAATTCAGATGCAAAATGCACCAAGCTGAAGGTGGTTGGTTAGAAGGGGGGTCCAGGTAGTTGTGTGTATGTGGTCCAGCGGGAGGGGTCTGGAAGTGTTTTCTGTCTGCAAGGCTGCTTACAGATGTTAAAAAACCCAAACATACTGTGCTTTACTGGAAGAAGCAGCGTATTAGTTTAACCTGGCTCCGCAGTGTCTGTACAGATCGGGTGCTTCAGTGGGGTTTTCTGGCACTTCTAATAGCTGATTCAATCAGCTATCAGATAAAAGCACCAAAAAAGCCCCACAAAAGTGCCCCATCTATGGTGAGTAGGATCCAACTAACGCCCTGCGTCTTCTGGGCATGCACTGGGCTCGGCTCGGGAGCACGCTGAGTTTAAAGTAAAGCACAGGGGGTTTTTTTGGTTTAATGTCTGTAAGCAGCCCAAAGGGGGGGGGGGACACGGGACACAGTGCCTGGGAACAGAGAACAGAGTGTGAGCGCAAACATCTTGCGGAGGCAGCCTTTGGAAGTGGGTTTTGCATGTGAAACCCCCATGGCGCATGGGGCAGTCTTTGAAAGCTGGTTTGGGGTACAAAATTCCTCATGTTCAGAGGGGGTGTCTGGAGCAGGCTGTGCGAGGGAGAACTGTCCCAGCAGGCTCAAGGGGAGGCCTCTGGAAGCTGCCTTTGGGTGCACACAAGGGGGTGGCTCCCTGGATGGCATGTCACCACTGTGGCCAGAGAGAGCACTGAGAGGGAAGCAAGGGCTCCCACCCAGCAGCATCCTGTACCTAAGTCACCCTACTGCCCCCCTCACCCACATCTCAAGCTGTGGGGTGCTACTGCCAAGCAGATGTTGGGGAAACCTGCCCCACCTCTCTCACATCACCCCTCTTCCCAGGCCAGCTGGGGAACTGGCGCCACTGGTGAAGTCTGCACACAGAAGCATGGGACAGGCGTGGCGAAGCACTCACAGCAGCAGCACTCGTGTCCCTGCAATTTGGGACTGGGGAGGGGGGGAAGGAAACTAGCGGGTGTTTGATGCTCGCCAGGCACAGTTCTAAGCACGAGACAGGGGAGTGGAAAAAAAAAAAGAATAATAAAAATAAAATAAAAAATCCCAACCCCCGAGGCAGCTGCGGCTCGCCATGAAACCCCCTTTGAGGCACAATCAGCCCCGAGCATCTCAGGCAGAGATGAGGTGGGTGCGAAGTGCGAGGGGAGGAAATGTGTCAGCAGAGGCAGCAGCAGCTGAGAGCAGCCGAGCAAACGCGGGCGGGAAATGAGCTTGCAAAGCGCACGCAGCAAAGCTGATCGCGGGGATAAGTCGCTTCTATGGAAACTGCAGCCTGATGAACCTAAGGGGGGAGGGAGGGGAAAAAGCCCAATCCTTTCTCTGGCAAAGTTGTAGCAGGAGCCGGCTGGCGCCTGGCTTCAGCTCCCCCCGCTCTAAATAAAATAATAATAATAAAGAGCACAATGTGTTTCTTGTTAGGGACATAAAAACTGGGGGCCCGAGTGGGGGCTCCCCCGTGTTGAGCTGTAGGTTTAGTGCCGCACAAATCTTCTCTTGTTGCCTCTGGGAGACGGAGGGGAACGACCGCCCGCCCGCGGGGGCCGGGGCCAAACACAGCTCGGCTTGTGCCCGGCTCGGCGGGGCGGGGCGGGGC